TGCTGATTTTCCCGTGGCACCCGCGGCTCGGCCCCGACGGCTCGGCCCCCGCCGAGCCCCAGATGCCCGGCCCGGCCCGGGGCCGGAGCGGAGCTTCCCCCGCGCCGTGACCAGGCGGATGGGAACGGCCCGGGTGAGCCAAGGTGTAATTATTACTCATCATATACCCCGCATTTCTCCTTCTCTCTCTCTTTTTTTTTTTTTTTTTCAAAGCTGCCGCAAAGTGGGAGCAATATGTTGCATGCATGCTAATTGCATTAACCTAGTTAGACACATTTAGTTCCCTAGCGCGGATGGCATGGATCTATTCCAATAGCAATTAGAGGAGCTACTTACCCACACAAACACGCCGAGGCTGGGCCGGGGGCGGGGAGTTTTGCTTATTTTTTTTTTTTTTTCTTTTCCCTGCGAGCCCGGGGCTGCCCGGCTGCAAAGCCTGGCCCCGGCCGGCAGCGGGCGGGAGGCGGGCGTCGCCGGTGTCATTGAACTTAAACGGGGTTCTTTGAACGAGAAAAAGAGCCGACCTATAATTCGATCTTGTCCTGTATTAGGACCTCATTAAACACAGAAAGTCGCTTTTGCACAAATGCTTCCATCAGGCATGTAATCTCATTACACTCATTAGAAAGTCAAATGTTAGTCGGACTTCAGCTTAATTATAAGTTATGGAAGTGTTGTACCGTTTCCTTCTGTGTACAGCCCCGTCCGTCTCAATTGGCTTTGGTGATGCGGTCCCCCACAATTAAAACACTACAATCATTGTTATGTGGCACCTTTTCTTTGGCGTGCCACTTTTTTTTTTTTCTTTTTTCTTTTTTTTTTTTTTTTTTGTGATTCAATGCTTCAACACATCCTTTAGTATGGTGCAGATGAAGCGGAAGAGCCGGCCTTCGCATGTAAAACACCAGGGTCTCTATCTTGTCACTCTCCCGTCTTGACTTGGCAAGTCCCTTTAAACGCGACCTTCAAAGAGACTGACAGCTCCTTTTGACCGGCTCATCATCCATTCACCCCGGCGCCGCGCTCCTGCGAGAGAAATCCCCCCGCACGGGGCAGGAGGGAAGTGCCCGTGCGGGTCCCCCGGCCCGGAGGAACCCGGCGGGACCCGGCTGCACCCGCAAGCCCCGCTCCGCTGTTTTTGGGGCGACTTCGGGGTGGGTTTTATTGTGCCCGACTGACAGCCACGCAAGCCCCCGTTCCCAACCGCCTGCCCCCGCTCCTCCTCGCTGCCGGGAGCCGCGGGGGGGGGTGATTGCGGTGACCGCTGCCCCTTCCAGCGCTGCCCCCCGGCCGCCGGCTCCCAGCCTCCCCCGCAACCCCCGCCCTCCGCCTGAAACCCCGCATCGCCTCCCGCGGGGGCTGCTCCTCCGCCACCGCGCCGCCCCGACGGCTCCTCGGGGGGGACGGGGGAGGCCCTCCCGGGACCGGCCCGGCCCGTTCCCCCCCCCACCGCCCCGCATTCCCCCTGGGGCTGGGGCTGCGAAGGGGGAGAGGAGTGAAGAAGAGGTGGGGGCAATCCCCAGCCCCGCTTGGGTAGGGGCGTGAGGGGGGGTAGGGGGGTGTTAGAGGCGCTTGCGGGAGGCTGGCTTCCCGCAGCCTCCCAGGAGGGAGGTGCGGGCTGTGGGTGTGCGGGCTGATGCTGTCCTGCCGGGATGGCAGGATGCTCAGCCGGGATGCCCCAGGTGAAAAGACGGTTTAGTTATCCGAAAGGGATAATTCCTACCCCCCCTCCCTTTTAAAATCCTAACACCACCACACACGCACACACACCCCCCCCCAAGCCCCGAGGGCTGGAGGCAGCGGTCCGCTGTGCGGGCTGGGAAGGCGTGCGTGCCTCCCTCCCGCGCCGCGCTCTGCGCTGCCCCTGGGCACTGTGAACCCGTCCCGCCGCCGTTCCCAGGGCCTCTCATCTGCCGGTAATCGGGCGAGCGCCTCGCAGGGCGTGAAGCCTCCCCGGGCCGGGCTCTCACCCCTCTCTTCATTCACGCATCCCCTCGCTGGCACCGAGTACCAGCTGCGAGGTCGAACAAACACCAGTTGAGTGTGCGTGTCCCCCCTTGGTTAAACCTCCCGCTTTCCAAAGCATCCCCCGCAGCCGGTGGGAATGGCTCCTAAATAACTCCACGACAAACCCGGGCTGGCGGGACCTGGAAGCGCGGGCGGGAGGCGATTCCCACGACGGGGCCGGGGTCTGGCCAACAGGTGCTGGGGGTTTGGCGGAGGGCGCCGGGGGAGCCCGGGGAGCCGGAGCCTCCGCTGCCAGAAAGCAGCCTGCTCCGGCGCCTCCGGCTTTACATGGCGTGGAAGCCGCAAACAATCGCAATGATATCTTTATTGCTAGGTTCATGTCCTGGGCTATAACATATCAATCCCTGTCGTGGTTCTCTCGGATGCACCTGGTATTTCAAACTTGTTCTTTTTGTGCTTCTGGGTCCTGGACTGCAGCTGCCTAAAGCCAGCAAAGAGAGAGGCCCTTACAATGTGTCCAAGACGTGTTGGCATGGTTTGCTTGTCTTTAATGTACCATTAACTATTGTCTTTACACAATATGGGAACTGTAAAGCATGACATGTGTTATAATAAAACACATTTTCAACGATACACTTGGACTCGGCGCTGGGATGCAAGCAAACAAACAGGCCCAAATCTTGTTTTGTCTCCCTCGCTAAGCCTACTGGCAATTAAACTTAAGACCACTGCTTTCCCCTGATCAGCCAATTAAATTTTATGTCTCCTAATTTTTCACATAGAAAAAAAGTCTCGGTGCCGGCCCCTAAAGACATTGATTTTCTTGCTATCACCTGGCGCTCAGACCTTAGTTCCATTTATCAAGAAGGGAAACGTCAGGCGTTACATAAAGTGACTCTGTTACCATAAGGCTCTCACCATCCTGCCCTATTGTTTTCCCTTGTTAATAACTCATTACCAGGATTTAACAAATCAACCATTACATATGTTTTGTGTCTCCATATTTTGATCCGTACGATTAAGCAGATGTTACGATTGAAAATTGAAAAGTCCAAGGCTACTCTCGTCTGAAAGAAAGAGGGCAGCCTCAAACAACGAGCTAACAATGAGATTCAGAAGATCTTCAGAAAAACATTTACGACCAATAAACAGACTCCAACCTGCTCCATTTCAACCATTGTGCGCCTTGGGGGAATAATTAAGTTTAATAGGAAGAGGTCCGCGGGGTTTTCAATGCCAAGCCCACAGGTGCGGGGTGGCACGATGAATGATCCGCCTGATTTTTGCCAGGCTCAAGGGCCCTTCTCCTGGCCGGGCGAGCAGATACGAAATATTGTCATTTCTTTTAATTCACAGCGTTACTCTCAGGGCGAACAAAGGGGGCGGGGGATGAATGGCTCGGGCTGCAGCCCCGCCGCGCCCGGCACCCCCGTGGCCTCGCCGGAGACCGCCCGGCGGGGACGAGCGCGCCGCCGCC